GATGAAAATACTGGCTGCAAAGGGTTGATGCCCAGTTACCTTGAAAATTTTCCCTTTGTGGGGTAACTGGGCACCCACCCCAAGGTAACTGGGCAGGTGGCAGTGGTGGCACCTGCCCAGTTACCCATTGCAAGGTTGCTGTGCTTCGGTGTTTGTTTACTTCTGAAAATTTCAAAACTAATTGACTATTGTGGACTTTTAAGTGCCAAAGACCAATAATCAGGGTTCCCAGCACACTGAACTTCTAACTTAAGTCAATTATAGCATAACTTAAGCATTACTCAATTACATTTTTGCCGCTAACTATTACGACATCATTCTTAACCACTTAAACATGTTTATATACATTCAAATGACATTTTCTTAAACCTTCATGAGCAGGACATCACCTTCTGGCCAATGAGAATTAAAAATAATGCCCCCCTCAAAAATTAAGGGGGGGTAGTCCAGTTACCCCACGACGTTGGGTAACTGGGTGAAAAAAACGGAAAATTTTTGAAAATTTGTGGGAAAAAATTGAAAGATGAAATTCGACTTTTGACTCTTCCTACATTTAGACAAGGTGTTGTACTTACTAAAAAAAAATTAAAAGTAGCTTCCACTGTCAATATAATGATGGGAAAAAAATCATGAAGTTGGAATTTTGACATTTTTCTCCGAACTCCTGCCCAGTTACCCAACCTCACCTCACCCGTAAAAATTTATAATCAGCTCAAAATATTCATTTTCGCTCGAGTTATCGAGTGGACAAGATTTGACCTCCCCCCACTCTCGAGCCCCACCCCTCAAAATCTATTGCCTCAAATTTCAATTTTTTTTCGCAGAATAGTAGTCCTAATGAGTCTCTACAAAATGCAAAAAAATTGGTCAAAATATATTTCAATGTAAGAAAGATATAACCACACACATGAATTTGAATAGCATATATTTTCGTGATCTACGACCCGTGATCGGTGCTCTTCACAATGTCTCAGGTCTGGGTCCGACATCATGGGAGAATGCAATAGTGTATTTCCTTCGGAAAATACACTAATAAGCTATCAAGGATCCCATTTTCAATCGTCATGAAAAAATGTGTTAAAATCGTATTAAAACTCGTTATTCGGCTATAATAATTATGTTCAAAAATGGAATCTACGACGAAAAATGCACTAGGCAAGGGTAATTTGCTCTGTTGTAAGGGCGGGAAATCTCTGTAATCAGAGAAAATGAGACGCGTGATGAGCGATGACCCCCTCCTATTGACTCGATCCACCGTGCGTCGCAGACTTCCTGTCGTACTTTATTTTTTAACGGAAAACTACTCTACGACAATTCTTTAAAACCGCCGTGATTTTTCTTCTCTGTGCGAAGATAATTCTGCAAAAATTTAAAGGAATGATGTCAATTTGTTCTTTAACAAAATAACAAAGAGGCGAAGACTTTTAGACACCGCAAACTAGTGTGATTGCCGACTTACACCGTCGATATAGGCCATCGAGTGACGTCGCAAGTCGTACCGTCTTTGCCGCGCAGTTCAAAATGACCCGTTGAGGAGGTTCTGGCAGATCTCCTAGCTTCAATAAGCTATCAGATGAATTTAAAAAATTGATACAACTCAAAATAACTAAGAACACGAAAAAATAACACGAAATTGACGAGACCCTCTCTCAGAATAGAAAGTAATCAAGTTTTCAATATGGCGTCGCAGTCGTACCATTGGACGCTGTCAAATCTACGCGTTTTGACGACTTTCTAAAATTCCATACGTCCATACCTGTAGTAGAGTGTACCTCTATGAGCTTTCATAGGTCCCATGAAATTCTCATGGATTCTAACGAAATTTTCATGGATCTTATAATGGGACATTTTTTCTAGATTGAAACGGCCCTACATCGTCCGTTTCACGAGGGCAAAAGGAATTTTTTATCAAGGATTTGTTAATTTGAGTTCTCTCTACTCTCTTCAGAGATTTTTAATTTGTAATACCTGCAGACTTTTCAATTTTATTCTCTTATTTGATCATTAACTTTTTCCTCTTTGTTGATGGTATCAATTTATTGGTATTTCACTCTCTTTTTCAACTGACGTGTGTCCATCTTCAATGCAAGGGCAAGACCTATGTTTGATCGTGAGGTCTCTTTTCTTTTGTTTCAGCTTTTTGCCATGGTCGAACCACTTTGCAAAATCTGTGCACTCTCATCACCGGGGATGCTTTGTTGTACTCAATGTTCCGGGAGGAGGCTGTCCCTGTGCCTTGCCCTTTCAAGCCTCCCCACTCATTTACCTACAATCGCGGGCACGGCGAGTGCCGCTCTCCTATCTCGAGCATTGACTCCTGCACCCAGGATTCTCGCATTCTCTTTAAGTATCAAGCCTGTCCAGATATTTACGGCTCAGAGAGCGCAGGTATATTATATTATATTTTGCCTTGAAATTTTAATTTCATTCTTTATATCCCGTGAAACAGCGTCAGGAGGATACAACTACCTAATGTCGATTTCTGGCCCCCCTTTGCTTTGAAGTGTGACTAGGCCACCCGGCTGCGGGACCCAGACCACAAGAGAGAACGAAGTTCTGAAAGGAAATCAACAACTTAATCTTTTGGGACGACAGAAGCACGGCCGGAAAGAACACACTCTACATACACCATTGAAAAATGAAAAGGACTTAAATATGGTTGGGGAACAGGTCCCCAACCTTTCAAAAAAGAATACTCACATTGTGACGCACGGTCTTGACCCGGGCCAAAAAACTACTGACTTCCCAACGGCTCTGGGCACGCCATCTCTGATTGGTCGATCCATCATCATTCGGCTACTGCAACCAATCAGAGATGCCTCGCCCAGAACCACTGGGGAGGTGCCGCCCTCTGGCGAAACTACTTTTGATACATTACCTACCTCGCTACAGAAGTAAACTTTGCTCACATGCACTGATTGTTTTCGATGCATGGTAAGATCCCGCCCCCCCTCCTCGGATAGGTAATTAAGAAAGACGGGGGGGTTGAGGGGGATGAACTGCAACGTCCACCATAATTTTTTATCCTGAGAGGGTCATGAAACTTAAGATGCGGCTGAGCCAATTAAAAATCCTCAGATGATCATCCTCTCCTTTTGAATGTACTCAACCACAAATTGCAAATGTATTGCATTTGCAAATGTATGTTTGATTTCCTGTAAATCTGACTACCTGCTATTAAGGTTAGTGCATGCTCCAAACTTATCGTAGTTTACTCACTAAAACAGTTTTTTAAGCAACTATTTTGTGTGATAATTTCTTCCAATGTTAAGACTGCGATGCAAGACCAGTATTACGTAGGTAACAAAGTGAGCTCCGGGAAATAGCAATCATTACATTGCAATTTTAACGGGGAAGAACAATGGCCTTAACGAAGGTGTGTTTCGTTTTAACAGTGGAAGAACTTCAGTGCCTGGCAACATGGAAGGAGGGCTCGTCTCGCTATTTGGTGGGTAAGGTGCACCACAGTCATGCGACGTCCAACGAAGACCGTTATAGATGTTTCGTCTACGAGAAAACCAGTTCGACCAATATGGTGGCAAACATGGAACAGTATGGTGCGAATATTTTCAACGGGATCGGCATGCCGATGGGGCGACGGGCCGACGAGGACGTTGAGTTCCAGATCGCCCAATCAGGAGACGCTACCTGCAACGGGCTTTTCACACCTCTCGAGGGCTCTCGCATCATGACCCTACGAAAAGGTATATAAACTTGTCACGGTTTTCTTTATATTTTATTTCTTTCTTTTCGTCCTACCCTCTTACTTCTTTTTCTCAGAGTGGATATGCCCCTCCTCCACAGAATGGGTCAGTTCCCTGGTAAAAGGGGAACATATAGACATTATAATGATCAAACAGTGATCATCACTCTGACGTCGTTATGATGTCATAATGAACATAATACCTAACGTCATAACAACATCAAAATGGTCATAATGCCGTCGCTCTGACGTTATTATGATCAACTCTGACAGAGCAAATCCAACACTATGATATGTATAACTAGGGGGCTATGCCTCCTGGCCGCTACGCGGTCTAACCTCCATGGGGCGCTTCGCGCTCTCTGTCTCACAATCAGGCCCGCTGCGACATGAGAACGACCGGAAAAATGAAAAGATTTTCAAATCCAACTCTCATTTGTCCAATCTCTCTTTCTGGTCGGGAGCAATTGGACCAATTAAGAATCGAATAAAAAAAATGTATTTCAGGCTTCAAGCCCAGACTGAAACGAAACGGAACGGAACATTTCGTCGCTTTTTGATAGTCCGTAGCAAAGGAACATACCTACCTTCAATTCACTTACCCTACTAACAGACCAAGATTCAACATTTCGTCACCTTCCGGCCAGAGTATCACAAGCGCCATCCCACGTTTCATAATTTCCGCCGCCATTTTATTTTTTTACTGAAAAATTGTTTGTTGAATCTGTATGAAAATTTCACTAAATTTTACTGGCAGCATAAAGAAAATTCAGTGAAATTTTCGGACAGCTTAGCCGAACAACTTTTCTTTAAAAAAAGAAAATGGCGTCGGAACTTTTTAAACGTCGCATGGCGTTTGTGATACTGTGGCCGGAAGGTAACGATTTCCCGCTTAGTTAAATGTTCCGCTAAATTTGAAATTCCCGCAATTTTTCACAGACGGGAATTTCAACCCCCCCCCCCCCAAGCTCTCAGGTCTACTCTTATGTAAAAAAAAAAAAACGTGGGTCCTATTTTCAAATTCTAGGTGGCGGTAGCCACACCGGCCCAATCCTAAATAACTCCCCCTATAAAAAAATGCCTAAATGATTTGATGGCTGCTGCCTAGCTAGATATGTACGGAGAAACTCAATCGGGCTCGCCTGAACGGTTTGCGGTCCATTCAGCTCTCCTGCTAGTTAAGTCGTAGAGTAAATCCCAAAAACCTCTGGGTATTATAGGAGTTTTGGGATTTACTCTACGACTTAACTGGGGTGAGGGGGTGCGTCCCTGGCCACTTTACCCTTCCCCTTCCCTAGTAAAGCACATTTTTCGAATAATTTACTGCCATATTTTCGATTTTTCTACCATGTTTTAATTTACATCTTGATAATGCAACGTAAAGTTGCTCGTGGCTGAAAGCGGCAACGAATCGGCAATAGTAGACNGGGGGGGGGGGGGGGGGGGGGGTTGAGCGTCGGCGCCGGAGAAGGAGACGGAGGGCAGCATGTTTAGTCGAGTCAAATAAGGGCGAAAAAAGGGTGAACCCGGAACTAATTGTATGTTTGAGTTTTTTGGGCTCATTGTATTCAGGAGATCAAGGAGAATCGAATGAACTAAAATTCGCCAAAATTCTCCCAAAATTTGACCCCAAAACTCCCCAAAAACTGAAAATTGACCGGAAAAATCCACGGATTTTTTAATAAAATGCTTATTATCTCAGAAACCGCACATCTGAGCATGAAAAGTAATAGGACTAAAATTGAAGGGCATTAAATTTCACATTAGAAACATCTATGAAAACTGCATGAAAGTCAAAATTACGGGGAGTCAGAGCTCCCCCCAAAAAATCCGCTCTCTCACTGAATTGTGCGCGCAGTGAGAATATTGCGGAAACGCGCTGTTTGTGAAGAATCGCTTCAATTTAAAGGGAAATCGAAACGGATGGATGTTTCGATACTTCGATATTCATGACAAACAGCATATCTGACACAAATTTTTTTTAAATTCTCCCCCAAATTCATCATTTTGGAAGGCATAGTGCCCTCAAAATCGTCTTCGCGTGAAAACACTTGGTAAACTTGAGGCAGATAGTTGAATCACCAAGAGCGAAAATTGGGTTAACTTTTAATCAGTGTCAGTTTTCACAGAGTTGTTCAATTTTCGCGCAAAAGAACCAGTGGGTTGAGGAGGAGGGGAGTAGATGCGGCGAATAGCTGACCATTATTAGTGACACTACTTATCAAAGCGTTGAGTGGCCGCGCGACGCATCCCTTTATGATTGAAGATGTTACGTGCCTCCAGAACATCATGCCTTATTTTTTACGCTTATGCAAATCTCATGTTGCCCAAACGTGTAGGTAAAAAAATCCTGAGACATCTATTGTGTATTTTTAGAGAAATTCACCATTTAATGCTTAAATTTTTATGCCTCCTCATCGATGGACACCAAGGCCGGGGTTGCGTGAATTCTGACTGTGGATGGTTCTCATGCCTTTTGAAAAGCCGCCCTACGACAGGAAAATTCCTGAGTTTTTGAAAATGTGGAGAAAACCTAATTTAGTTAGTGTCTAGAAGACTGCCGCAATGTCCACTTAATTTGCCAGTTTTGGTTGTAAGTCGCGTGAGCGCATCCGAATTAGTATCATTATTATCGTCATTTCGCACTACGGCTGAAATTTCGACAAAATTTTCCGAAAAAGTACATTTGGTGATCATTTGCCGATAATCCGGACGCGTGTTATTATCGTTCTTAATTTAATTTGGTGTTAACGCAAAAAATGTTCTAAGGTATGCTCTCGTGTACCATGGTTCGTTGCCTTTTTAAATTGTATCCAAAATGAATCTCAACTGGGATAAACGCGTTTTTTGGAATGACCTGCTGAGTCAGGATGCAACTCGGAAATTTTGTTATTAAATTTTAGTGTTTTGTCATCATTATTCCTGCTCTTATGTGTTTTTTTGCGATTTTTGTTCTCCCACGTCGACGTTAATTTAAACTAGTGAATCTCGCGTGGCCTCATCCGCGTCTTTCGTGAAAAGCGATCATACCAATTTAATTATCCCGCTACAATTTCGTGAAAAACTGTGTTCGTTATGTTTCATTGAATTTAATGTTAACAGTCAAGAATCACGCATTTCCTCCGGACAATTCCGCAAAAACTCGTCGACCTATTATTGTTAATCTTATCGTAATTTCCTCTGTTTTTACCACAAGTTATTCCCTGAATGCATCCCACATTTGCATGGCTGAATTCACATCATTCTTCATTTACGTTTCATCGTTAATTTTTGCTAAAGTCTCACATACTCTTTATCCATTCAGCACTGATAAGAAACTTCTGCAGAGGTACGTGAACAATGATTAGAAAAGGTATCTAAACCGATAAAGTGTCACTCTCATTTACTGTTTTAATAGGTAGTTTTTCATGTTCTTTCTAAGCCTTCCCTTCCTTTCTACCTTCCTTCCTAGGCTACTTCTTTCAATGAAATTTAAAATTCTCTTTTCAGAAAATAAGTACAATTATTGGAAACTACAAATCGGAGCAAATTATTTTACACCTAGCTTGATGACTTTTACTCGTAAAACACCACGACGACTGACTGTGCGAGTACAGGTATCGCTTGGTCTCGACGTTCCAAAATGATGAATTTGGGGGAAAATTTAAAAAAATTTTGTGTCAGATATGCTGTTTGTCATGAATATCGAAGTATCGAAACATCCATCCGTTTCGATTTCCCTTTAAATTGAAGCGATTCTTCACAAACAGCGCGTTTCCGCAATATTCTCACTGCGCGCACAATTCAGTGAGAGAGCGGATTTTTTGGGGGGAGCTCTGACTCCCCGTAATTTTGACTTTCATGCAGTTTTCATAGATGTTTCTAATGTAAAATTTAATGCCCTTCAATTTTAGTCCTATTACTTTTCATGCTCAGATGTGCGGTTTCTGAGATAATAAGCATTTTATTAAAAAATCCGTGGATTTTTCCGGTCAATTTTCAGTTTTTGGGGAGTTTTGGGGTCAAATTTTGGGAGAATTTTGGCGAATTTTAGTTCATTAGATTCTCCTTGATCTCCTGAATACAATGAGCCCAAAAAACTCAAACATACAATTAGTTCCGGGTTCGCCCTTTTTTCGCCCTTATTTGACTCGACTAGTTAGCGTATGCATGCTGCACGACGGGCAGGGAAGCGGGTAGTGGAGGAGAAGAAACCGGTTTGTGACATGATTAGCGTGACGCCCTCAGTGTGACATGCTACCCTTATGATTTTCCATCACCGTGTATGGTGTTTTTGCAAAGGACAAGAAGGATCCGAAAGAACTTTTTAATTTGATTGCAGGTAATTCACCTAGCAAATGCAAGTTTCCGAACTGGTTGACGGTCTCAGGGCACTGGCACACGCTGGATTACAAGCGGAGCTACTCCTTCCACCACCGTAACACGACGCTGCATATCAGCAACTCAACGAGCACAAGTGGAAAGAAGAGTGACGGAAGGACTGAACCCTCGAAGCCTTTTGCGGACCCTTCCTGGGCGAGCCTTTCGGACCACAACTCAAGGATTATTTGCACGGAGCTCAAGCAGGTCACTGCTGAAATCGCACATCTCGTAGCCCACGCAACAACCGGCTGGTTAGTTCTTACATTTATCATCCGCTGACTGACATATCAACTGTGAAAGTCGGCAATCACATAACTCGGTTTGCGACGTCGCAGACTTCCTGTCATACTTTATTTTTTAAACGGAAAATTACTCAACGGCAATTCTTTAAAACTGCCGTGATTTTTCTTCTCTATGCGAAGAAAATTCTGCAAAAACTTCAAGAAATGACGTCAATTTGTTCTCCTTTAAAAAAATAACATAGAGGCGGAGATATTCAGACACCGCAAACGAGTTATGTGATTGCCGACTTACACCGTCGATATGTGCGTTTAATAGTAAACACACGATTTGGTTTACTATATTACCTGAAATCTTAGGTTGATGCGGAGGGGGGGGGGGGTGGACCTTCGTAACAGGGCAGGTTAAGGTCCTCTGAGAGATAGTCACGTTACTGCGACATTACGTCCTCGAGTATAATATCACATACACTGGTGTGTGAATTTACGCGCAGAGATGCGTTTGTTCGAGTGCCTCTCACCGGGCGCGCGTAAAAAGGTGTTCCAGTTTTAGGTGGAACATAAAAGGAGCTTGGAAAAATAAGATTGAATCTGGAACGTCTTGTCAATTCGTGCTGAAAATATGAAAACCCTCGCAAATGCATACCTATTTACTTACAAAATTCTTAGAACAAATTAAATTGGTACTGTGAAGTGCGACACTTTGACCAAACTGCGAGTTAGTCCAGGCAAATAAGTGAAAGAGCCTGCAAAAATCCCGGGTAGAAATGTTTTCGATTATTCCCATGTAATTTTCGACGCTGAATCCGAATTTCAGCTCTGCATCAAAAAATTCGGACCGGAAAGTTGCCAAATTTGGCAAAAATGGCCTAAAATTGGCATTTTTCCGGATTATGGCCTGTAACTTGCCAAAAATTGATCTGACAATAAAATTAGTTATTTTTAAAAATAAAGCTCGTTAAATTTCCCATAAAAAAGTTCCTATGCATTTTTTTGCTCAGGACAAAATCAAGCGCGCTGGCAGGCACCGAGCTTTGAAAAATGAGCGAAAATTGCGTTTTTCGCTGCTTTTGCCCAATGTCTCCTTTTTCAATCGTCTGACGAGTAATTTCTGGACAAATTAAGTGAAGATGAAAAAATTTACACTAAGTGAAATGAATTTATGTAAATTTTAAGGAACCCAACACATTACAGTGTGCGCAGTTTTCGCTCATTTTTCAAAGTTCGGAGACCGCCAGCGCACTTGATTTTGTATTGAGCAAAAAATGCAAAGGAACTTGTTTATAGGAAATATAACGAGCTTTATTTTTGAAAATAACTAATTTTATCGTCAGATCAATTTTTGGCAAGTTACAGGCCATAATCCGGAAAAAAATGCCGATTTTATGCCATTTTTGCCAAATTTGGTAACCTCCGGTCCGAATTTTTTGGCGCAAAGTTGAAATTCGGATTCAGCGTCAAAAATTACGTAGGAACCAATGAAAACATTACTACCCGAGATTTTTGCAGGCTATGGCCCCTTTTTGGCTTATTTGCCTGGACTAAGTAGGTACAGACTGATTGAGAAGTAAAAAAAACAAAGTGTCCCAGCGCAACTTGGAAAACTTTGATAAAAAAAATCATTTTTTTTTTTTTTTTTTTTTTTTTTTTTTTTTTTTTTTAATAAATAATTGTAAGAGATCATTTCGTAACATCGAATCATACGTAACAGGCTGTCATCTGTATCTTCTTTCTTCTCCCTTCATGCTGCAAACTCACAAGTCCTCTATAAATTTTCATTTCTGGTATCAGAGTTCTGATACCGGGCCGATTTTCATGATTTTTGCGACTATCGACGGGTGATTGTCTTTAGATGAGCCCGATCTAAGGTGAGTTCGGGTAACTGGGCAAGAGTTCAGAAAAAATGTCAAAATTTCAACTTTATGGGTTTTCCCCCATCAGTAAATTGACAGTAGTGGCTACTTTTTTTCTTCTTTTTTAGTAAATATAACACCTAGTCTAAGCGTAAGATGAGTCAAAAGTCGAATTGCATCCCTCAATTTTTTCCCACAAATTTTAAAAAAATGCCCTGTCTTTTTGACCCAGTTATCCACGTCGTGGGGCAACTGGACTACCTCCTCCCCCTCCCTTAATTCTTGAGGGGGCATTATTTTTAATTCTCATTGGCGAGATGGTGATGTCCTCCTCATGAAGGTTTAAGAAAATTTCATTCAAATTTACCTATATAAAAATGTTAAAGTGGTTAAAAATGATGTTACAGTTAGCGGCAAAAAACCCTTAAACCTGAGAATTAAATAACTGTAAAAAAGAATTGTTTCCTTCTACATCAATGCTTAGAGCTTTCAGTACTAACACTCAAAAAGTGTTATATTTCAGGACACTTTTTGGCCAGTTTCAATGAGGTTAAGGCTGATGCATTTTTAAAAATAAGTAAAAAAAAACTTACCTGAGCCGCAAGGCTGATCACGGTAAAGTAAAGCGCCATGGAATGAAATAAAAACTTTTAAGAAAGATTTGAACGGGGTAGGTAGCACCTACTCAGCTACCTTGGAGTGGGATATGAGGCTCTTTCCGGGACAACTTCCGGCGTTGTTTTGAAAAAAAGCTACTCAATTCTCAGCACTTCAACTCTCATCGAAAAGTTTCATTTTTGACGTTATGTTTACATATTCTAGATGGCTTACCTCATGATGAAGGTATATAAACTATGAAAACAATTCTAGCACTAATAGGGTAGAAGTATAGAGGGTATGGCCTAGTTACCTGACCTCGCCTTATTTCTTATTCGTCAATTTTCAACTTTCAAATAATGCACAGATGCCATACTGAAACTGCTTAAAATTAAACCGGGGGGGGGGGGGGGCTATTTTTGGAAAATTTTCTGGGGGAGACCCCCATGCTCTAGGGGTATCCCCCAGACCCCCCCTCCCACTCACTCTGGCTCCACCGCTGTGCCAATCGCCAGTGCGCCGTTTCCAAATTCCAGATTGGTTGAGATGAAATAAAAAAAAGGAGAAGGGACATTATGTTTGGCATATTCATCCTTGTTGGTATGCTCACTAAATGGTGAAAATTCTATAAAATGTGAAAAAATTACGGAGATGAGCGTGAAACAGGGTGCTCCCGGGCGCAGCTGAGGGACGCTGGCCCGAGGCCGATGCGCGGACCCTGTCGCGTCAACTTTGAAAAAGCCCAACTCCGAAACTGATCTTTTCCCTGACACGTTCTTTAGCTCCTTTTAAAGAAAAAAACAAGGTCTATCTGTTGGGCACATATTCATAACATTTCGTGCGACTCCTCACGTCGAAAAATTGAAAAATCCAAAATTGAATTTTTTCAAAAAATTCAATGAGCCTTAACTTTGCCAAAAATTAACCGATTGTGAATTTCTTACACTCGATGTAGAATGGTCTTTTTATGCTCATTCATTTACAAAAAATCCAATTCAATATCCGCTACCGTTCAAAAGTTATGCCCAAAAGTTGATTTTCCTTTGACCCCCGCCCCCCTCTCCCCGAGGGGCTGGATCAAAAACTCCGCCATTTTTGAACTTCTACATCCTTTCTTTACAAAAGGTGAAGGTATGACAAGATTCCGTCCTGGGCCCAATTCTTATGGGAGATGCATATACCTCTTCCCAAGAATATCGTTGCTTTCAATCATGGAATTGGCGCTGGGGACGTTTATGAATGCTAAATTACCCTCAATCATCACGCAAGCCTCCGGAGCTCCACGGCAGCGGCGCTCGGGCGATCACGGGGGTTGAGCATCGTCGGGTGTAGTTGGTACTTAGATGGGAGGCCGTTCGGGAATATGACTGCGACGGCGGCGCGGCGCAGAGCTAACGCGTGGTGGTTTGAAATCACTCACACACCTACACACCATACCCCGGCAATAAATCAAATTAATTTTCGTATGCAGCCCTTATTTTTTTCTTCTATGGCTCTGTTACTATCCATTGCTCAAAATTACCCGGAAGAAATTCCCAGGGGAGCCATTTCTCCTGCCCAAAATTACCTGGGTGGAATGCCCAGCAGCAAGTTTTAGCAGGGATGGTAACATTGCCGTTGAACATAGCCGAAACGTTGCCTGACAATTTTGCGACCCGTGAGACGGAATTCAGTTTGCCACAACATTGCTGGCACGTTGCCAGGAAACATTTCCGGATAATCGGTATTGTTGCCGCAATGTTGGTGCAACGTTGCTTTGCCGGCCGGGCAGAATGGTGTCATTATCCATAAAACAACACGCTGTGTATCTACCATTGATACAAGTTATATATGTTCCCAACAGCTGGAAAGGGCACACCTGGGCACCAGAAGCGCCCAACAGAGAAATAAGGCCCAAAAGAGACCTTATTGGGTCATTTTCCATTTATGTACATGTATAAAATTTGCCACTCAAACGGAGCAACTTGAGGAGTGAGTTTGCAGAAGTAAACTTCGCGACAAGTCAGTTGCTGACTGGCCATGGCTCTTTTGCGGCTTATCTGCATCGCTTTAAGATCAACGATTCTGATCAATGCACTCAATGCAGCCAACGTGATTCGGCGGAACACCCGATGTACAACTGTGGCAGATGGGTTGCGGAAAGGTGGGAACTTGAGGGGGTCATTGGTCCCATCCCGCCCCCAGAAGAGGTAATGCGTGTGCTACTGGAGAACAACGGAAATTGGCTGGCGTTTGAGCGGTTCGCGGCGCGTGTTTATGTCAAGCAAACGCGAAGATGGATAACGAGATGGATAATGGATAACGGATGCCTCTTGTGGGTCAGAAACCCTCGGGTCTCTGGCCCTGTTTACCGCAGGCTATCCAATTGGGGATATCGGGTTCGACGCACCCGCGGAGCTGAGTCATGTGTAGGCTGCCCCCTTCTGGAGCCGCATAAGATCGGGTGCCTCGAGGGTTGAGCGAGACGTAACTGGTCCGCCCTCCCTGCCCTCCAGTCCTCGGCTCCAGAGCCCTGCCGTGGGGTTGTCGCAGGGGTTGTCGCAAGTGTTATAGGATATATTT